AAAGTTCTCTTTGTTCCCTCCCCCCCCCCCCCACTTTTTGAAACAATTTATATTAAATGGGATTATCTATGCCTTGAAGATTTGATAAAACTTCTCTATAAAATCATTTGATTCTGGTGTTTTGTCAAAGTGGTAAGTTTACTATTAAAAACGTACCTTAATGCCAAGAGTATCTCCATCTTTCAAGTGATAAGGCGCCCCCTGCAAATTATCTTGCTTTTTCTTCTTTCTCCTCTTGGTAATTTGCTGCTTCTACAGAAAAATTAAGTATCTTGAATAAAGAAAACTCAATCTCAAATTCTTACTAAATTCCCTGTCTGTGGAAAACTGCAGTTAATTATTCACTATGCCAGTGAGGCCCGATTTCCCTGAGGGAGGCCCACAGCTTTACCCAGCCAGGTACTGGAAGCCACTCAAACTTTTCAGGAAGGTATTTGGCAATTTCAATTTTCTCCACAGGAAGAGAATAGAAATCGGCCACTCGGTGCCTCAGGGAGCCGGCCGTCCAGCCTCGGGCAGTGTCCCACACCAAGTCCACGGGCAAGGCATACGCCCTCTTGCCAGGGAGGCGCATCTGTGTCCTCAGCAGCACATGCTGGGGGCTGCATCAGAAAACAGTCACATGTCAGATTTACAACAAAATGGGAAACATGCAATAACCTCGGCAGGTGTGAATGGCATAGCTTCTCCTCTGACTCTTCTGAGTTTTTCCTAAGGAGAGATTTTCCTTAAACCCTGAATGCTAGTGGGAAAGCTTTACTTTGATTTCCTTCAGTCCTGACGCAGAATGGAGGTGAGCTCTCATTCTGAGTCCACAGCAGGGTCCCTGGGGAGGCAGCAGGCGAGGCTGAAGGCGGAGGAAGTTGTTCCTCAGTGGGGCGCGGAGGGAAGAGGATTGGGGGCGACAGAGCTGGAAGGGCAGCAGGGCTCTCCCGGTGACGAAGGGGAAGACGGGCTTCCCGCTACGGCCACTTCCGAGGACACGCTGATTTCAGAACCAGAACCTGTGAAGCTGGCAGAAAACTTAGCCAGGGAGAAGAGACGGAGGGCTTAGAGTCAGGAAGAGAAGATGAGGGGTGTAGTTGTAAGAGCAAAGGAAACCTCTGCAGGAGACGAGCACAGATACGAGGTGCTTGAAGGAAGAGAAAGAGGAGAAACATTCAGAAAGGTCGGAAAGAACTTTAGATGCATGGAGACTGTTTCAGATATAGGACGTGAAATAGAAGCTACAGATAAGAACTGGAAGGTGGAGAGGAGACATGAAAACTTTAAGGATGGTGAGACAATGAACGATTTGAATGCTGTATTTCTATTATACTGGTGTTTCTATCGAAAGAAAGGGTAACACAACTGGAGGAAACAGGCAACGCAGGGGGAGCGAGGGCCCAGTGAATCAGGAGATTGGACTGAAAGCGGGGGACTGTGGTCAGGAAGGAAGGAATTTTTGAGAGGGTGTAGGTGTTGTTGAGGTCAGTGAGCAGAGCTGAGGTCCCAGAGCATACAAACTGTGGTCAGTGTAGATGCAGGAGCTGCCAAGGAGGTGACAGAGTCTGGGTGAAGACCACGAGGGGCCAGGGTCCTCGCTGAGGGGGGGCAAGAGTGCTCTGGAGGTCAGTCAAGGACAGAAGCGCGGACGGGGAGGGGGGCTAAGGAAGTGCACAGCATGGTCTTCAAAAGGACACTGCTCACGACAAACATGACAGAGGGTCCATTTATATTATGTAATATAATCTATATTATAGAAAGAGCTCACACAAATTAGACTTTTTTCTAAGACCCCATATAAAACAGGCGAAATATATGAAACAATTCACTCGCTCACAAAATACAAATGGTTTACAAGCCTTTGAACAAACGCCCTAATCTTACTAGATGAGACAAGATAACCATTTTTCATTTATCAATTTAGCAAACATTTAAACAATGACAACATTCAATGATGGTTTGATGGTGAGGTGAAATAAATACTTAGAAACACAGCTTGTGGAAACATAATGGTATAACTTACCTGGAAAGGAATTTAACAAATAAGAGGTTTAAAATGTCCATACCATTTGATCCAGAAATTCCCCTCCAGGAAACTACTCCTAGTAATACAATTTGCATTAAGAATTGCATTTTTATAAAACAGTGGGATAAAATGAAGGTCACACGGTTGAAAGAGTAGAGTTGTTACACAACAGGAGGGCAACAAGAATCATCATGTCACATCAGGTAAAAGAATCTTAATATTTGGTGTTACTGACAAAAATGTCTTATAAAAGAATGTCCTATAATGATAAAAAGAATAGATAGGTTTGAACGTGGACGACTTTGGGGTGCTTCTTTATTCCATAAATAGTTACTGACTATGACAAAGGCACTGTCCCAGGTATCGGGGAGGCAGCAGTGACCAAAAAACGAAGTGCTCGCCCTCACAAAACTTATAGTCTAGTAGTGGGAGACGGATGATAACTGATAATTCAATAAGTGTATGTCAGGTGACATTAGGATGACAAAAGTAGGACAAGGGGCAGCATGTCAGGTGTTACTATCAATTGGTTTGACAACAGACTGTGCAGGCACCGGTAAGAGCTTGGGATGAGCATCTTGCTTATACTTCAAGATCATTATGGGTTCAACATGCATTGAGACTTACTGAAAAATTCTGTTTTTATGGAAAAATGAGTCCTAAGATCTAGACACCAGACATACAAACACATTTCTAGAACATAATCTGTTTTAAGTTGCCAGACTCCTTAGAAGCAGTGAAAAAAACACTTAAAAAATTTAACACCTTAATCAACAGTAGAACTATCCATTGGGATCAGACAAGTGTATAATTTTGTATGTGTAGTAGGACATCTTACCCCAAGTTTTCTTCTTTCTGAAGGGGCTCTAAGCAGATCTCAGTTCTCTGTCCCAATTTATATTCCCTGATAACAAATGAAACAAAATAATATTGAATGACATATCACTTAATTTGTTCAAAGTTTTTTTCTTAACCAATTTCAAGTATTCTTAAGTGAAATATTATACCATATAAGAACACTCAAAATTTAAGAGACTACCATGAACAATTATACACCAAAAACTTGGACAATGTAGAAGAAATGGATAAATTCCTAGAAACATACAACCTACCAAGACTGAATCATAAAGAAACAGAAATTCTGAACAGACTAATTATGAGTAAGAAGATTGAATCGGGGGCTTCCCTGGTGGCACAGTGGTTAAGAATCCACCTGCCAGCACAGGGGGCACGGGTTCTAGCCCTGGTCCGGGAAGATCCCACATGCTGCAGAGCAACTAAGCCCATGAGCCACAACTACTGAGCCTGCACTCTAGAGACTGCAAGCCACAATTACTGAGCCCATGTGCTGCAACTGTTGAAGCCTGCGCACCTAGAGCCTGTGCTCTGCAACGAGAAGCCACCGCAATGAGAAGCCCGCACGCTGCAACAAAGAGTAGCCCCCACTCGCCGCAACTAGAGAAAGCCTACGCACAGCAACAAAGACCCAACGCAACCAAAAATAAATAAATACAATAAATTTATTAAGGAAAAAAAAAAGATTGAATCAGTAATCAAAAACCTCCTAACAAAAAAATGTTGAGGACCAGATGGCTTTACTGATGTATTCTACCAAAAGAAGAATTAATACCAATCCTTCCCAAACTCTTCCAAAAAAAAAAAAAAAAAAAAAACAGAACAGGAGGAACACTTCCAAACTCATTTTATGAGGCCAGCATTACCCTGATATCAAAACCAGACAAGGACATTATAAGAAAATTAAAGGCCAATATCCTTGATGAACATAAATGCAAAAATCCTCAAAGAAATATTAGCAAACCAAATTCAACAGTACATTAAAAGGATCATACACCATGATCAAGTGGGATTTCTGCAAGGGATGCAAAGATGGTTGAAACATTCACAAATCAATTGGTGTGATACAACCACGTTAACAGAATGAAGGAAGAAAATCATATGATCGTCTCAACAGATGCAGAAAAAGCATTTGACATTCTTTCACGTTAAAAATTGTCAACAGGGGCTTCCCAGGTGGCGCAGTGGTTGAGAGTCCGCCTGCCGATGCAGGGGACGCGGGTTCGTGCCCCGGTCCGGGAGGATCCCGCGTGCCGCAGAGCAGCTGGGCCCGTGGGCCATGGCCGCTGAGCCTGCGCGTCTGGAGCCTGTGCTCCGCAACGGGAGAGGCCACAACAGTGAGAGGCCTGCATACAGCAAAACATAATAAAAATTGTCAACAAACTGGATATAGAGGGAATGGACCTCAATGCAATAAAGGCCATATATGAAAAGCCCATGGCTAGTATCATACTCAGTGGTGAAAAGCTGAAAGCTTTTCCTCTGAGATCAGGAATAAGACAAGGATGCCCACTCCTACCACTCATATGCAACACATTGGTGGAATTACTAGCCAGAGCAATTAGACAAGAAAAAAAAATAAAAGGCATCCAGATTGGAAAGGACAGAGTAAAGTTGTCTCCATCTGCAGATTACACGATGATATTTATAGAAAACTCTAAAGGCTCCACCAAAAATCTGTTAAAACTAATAAATGAATTCAGTAAAGTTGTGGGATACAAAATCAATATATAAATATCAGCTGCATTTTATATACCAACAGTAAATCACCAGAAAGAGAAATTAAGAAAACAATCCCATTTCCAACAGCATCAAAAAGAATAAAATACTTCGGAATAAATTTAACCAAGGCGGTAAAAGATGTGTATACTGAAAACTATAAGACACTGATGAAAGAAACTGAAGATTCAAATAAATGGGAAGCTATTCCATCGTCATGGATTGGGAGAACACTGTTAAAATGTCCATACTACCCAAAACAATCTACAAGTTCAGTGCAATCCTTATCAAAATATCAAAAGCATTTTTTCAATTAGAAACAGAAAAAACAGTTCTAAAATTGGTAAAGACCCACAAAAGACCTTGAATAGCCAAAGCAACCTTTTCTTAAGAAAGAAGAACAGGGCTTCCCTCGTGGCGCAGTGGTTAAGAATCCGCCTGCCCATGGACATACATACACTACCAAACGTTAAGGTAGATAGCTAGTGGGAAGCAGCCGCATAGCACAGGGAGATCAGCTTGGTGCTTTGTGACCGCCTGGAGGGGTGGGATAGGGAGGGTGGGAGGGAGGGAGACGCAAGAGGGAAGAGATATGGGAACATATGTATATGTATAACTGATTCACTTTGTTATAAAGCAGAAACTAACACACCATTGTGAAGCAATTATACTCGAATAAAGATGTAAAAAAAAAACCAAAAAGAATCCACCTGCCAATGCAAGGGACATGGGTTCGAGCCCTGGTCTGGGAAGATCCCACAAGCCACGGAGCAACTAAGCCCGTGCGCCACAACTACTGAGCCTGCGCTCTACAGCCCGTGAGCCACAACTACTGAAGCCTGTGCGCCTAGAGCCTGTACTCTGCAACAAGAGACGCCACCGCAATGAAAAGCCCTCGCACCTCAACGAAGAGTAGCCCCCGCTTGCTGCAACTAGAGAAAGCCCGCGTGAAGCAACAGACCCAACGCAGCCAAAAAATAAAACAAACAAAAAAAAGAATAAAGCTGATGGCATCATGCTCCCTCATTTCAAACTATACTATAAAGCTACAGTAATCAAAACGGTATAGTACCAGCATAAACACAGACACATACATCAGTGGAACCCAAAAGAGGGACTTCCCTGGTGGTCCAGTGGTTAAGACTCCTCACTTCCACTGCAGGGGGCATGGGTTCGATCCCTGGTCAGGGAACTAACATCCCACATGCCACACAGCATGGCCAAAGGAAAAAAAAAGAACACGATAGAGAGCCCAGAAATAAACGCATGCATATATGGTCAATTAATTTATGACACAGGAGCCAAGAACACACAATGGGGAAAAGAGTCTCTTCAATAAGTGGTGCTGGGGGGAACTGGACAGTCTCATGCAAGGGAACGAAACTAGACCCCTATCTTACACCTTATTCAAAAATCAACTTAAAATAGATTAAAAGAATCGAACGTTAAGACCTGAAATTGTAAAACTCCTAGAAGAAGACAGAGGAGTAAGCTCCTTGACATCAGCCTTGGCAATGATTTTCTGGATTTGACACCAAAAGCAAAAGCAATAAAAGCAAAAATAAACAAGTGGGACTACATCAAAATAAAAAGCTTCTGCATAGCAAAAGAAACCATCAACAAAATGAAAAGGCAACTATGAAGCAGCAGAAAGTATTTGCAAATCTAAGGGGTTAATATTCAAAGTATATAGAGGGCTTCCCTGGTGGCGCAGTGGTTGAGAGTCCGCCTGCCGATGCAGGGGACACGGGTTCGTGCCCCGGTCCAGGAAGATCCCACATGCCGCGGAGCGGCTGGGCCCGTGAGCCATGGCCGCTGAGCCTGCGCGTCCGGAGCCTGTGCTCCGCAACGGGAGAGGCCACAACAGTGAGAGGCCCGCGTACCGCAAAAAAAAAAACAACAAAAAGCAAAGTATATAGAGAACTCATACAACTCAATAGCAAAAAGCAAACAATCTGATTTAAAAATGGCAGAGGACGTGAACAGACTTTTTTTTTTTAAAGAAGACATACTAATGGCCAACAGGTACATGAAAAGGTACTCAACATCATTAATCATCAGGGAAATGCAAATCGAAACCACAATGAGGTATCATCTCACACCTGTTAGAATGCTTATCATCAAAAAGACAAGAGATAGCAAGTGTTTTTGAGGATGTGGAGGAAAGGGAGCCCTTGTTCAGTGCTGGTGGGAATGTAAATTGGTTCAGCCACTATGGAAAAACAGTATGGCGGTTACTCAAAAAATTAAAAATAGAACTACCATATGATCCAGCAATCCCACTTCTGGGTACCTCACCAAAGGAAATGAAAACAGGATCTCAAAGAGATTATCTGCACTCCCATGTTCATTGCAGCATTATGCACAGTAGGCAAGATATGGAAAAACCTAGTGTCTGTTAACCAATGAATGGGTAAAGATGTGGTGTATGTATGTATGTGTACACACACTCATACACACACAAAGGAATATCATTCAGTCATAAGAAAGAAGGACATCCTGTTGTTTGAGACAACATGGATGGACACTGAGAGCATTACACTAAGTGAGATAAGACAACTGCTGTATGATATCACTTATATGTGGAATCTAAAAAAGATGAACTAATAGAAACAGGGACTAGGATGGTGGTTACCAGGGACTGGGACTGGCTGAAAAGGGGAGATGTTGGTCAAAGGGTACATACTTCCAGTTATAACCTATAATCAACATGCTGTACATGACATCCCCAGAACATATTCATCTTATAACACTGAATTATATACTTGAAAGTTGCTAATAAGAAGGTAGATCTTAAATGTTCTCACAAAAAGGAAATGGCGATTATATGATGTGATGGAGGTTGTTCGCTAATGCTATGGTGGTAATCATTCTGCATTATACGTCTGTCAAATCAATAGGTTGTACACCTTAAATTTATACAGTGTTATATGGCAATTATATCTCAATAAAGCTGGGGGGAAAAAAACAATCAAAATTTTGTTCACAGTCTCTGGACCATAGTAAAAACAGATGAAACTACATTTATACTTAATATGAGAAACTGAAGTTGTCTCAGAGTTTAATTTATGATAAAAAGTACCATTGACATGACAAATGTGGAATGACCTAGAACGGGCTGTTGTGGAGTGTTCAGTGAGAACCCTACCTGAGCCGCTGATAGTGGACTCGTAAGAGCCTGCCGGGGCGCCTACTTTCCACCGTCCAGGCTCTAAGGAAGGCGGGCGATGGGATGGAAAACTCCGAGAAGGAGGGCAAGGTCATGGCCTAGAAAAGAAACAGACATCGGAAAAAGCACTCTTAAAAACAGACTGCTTTAGGAAAAAAAAATGAAGTGCTACACAATGACATTTAAGGGCAAGAGTATCTTAGGTAATGATAATATCTACCCAAAAAATCCACAGGAATATCGTTTAAATGAAATTAACCCTGCTTTGTATTCCTCTCTACTGAAATCAGCCTTAGAGATTTTTCTGTTTCTAAATCTGAGCCAAAAGCTCCTTTTCAATGATTATGTTTTAGAAAATGAAACTTTAAAATTAATTTCTATATGACTATATAACTCAAGAGCAGAGGCCTCTCTAATAAAAGCAAGGACTCATCTTCAACTTCCATCTGTACTCATATAATTCAACAAAGTTTGCTCTGCCATGGAAATAACTTCTGATTTTGAAATATTTCAGAATCTCTGGATCCAAATGCTAGGGCCAAACCGCTGGACTAATTCTGTAGGGGTGGATAACTATTTATATACTTAGGCTGTAGTATATAAAATGGCCAATATTCGTCCGTTTTAAATCTAGAAACAGCAATTTTGTATCTTTTAAACTAATATAAGAAAAAAAGTCTCTTTCTACTTGTTCTTATTAGAATAGGACCATTTGTTTTTTCTGAGGAAGGTATTTCAGATATTGAAGACACACAGAAGTCAATCAATGACTGGTATTCACCTTACGTGCAGCACCTACACTGTTTCTTTTAAGAGCAAGAAGGGATGTTCATTTTAATCCAATGAGAATAAGATGCTTCTTAAGCATTGTGTGTTGTATTCCTTTCCATTTGGACAGAACACTGTGTCTGTGAGTATTAATGTCCAGGAAAACAATACAGTATCTAGTTTAACATAAAGCTGATATTCTGACCTCCTGGGCAACTGACCACACAGCTTTTACTAACAACATTTAACACATGAATCACAATGACACAAAGACAAGGTAAATAAAGGAGTAAAGTGAATGCTTTACAAATGTCCCAACAAATGTTTCCCTAAAAAATCAAAATGAACATAAGCTGCAAGTCACTGAGGAGATTTCAAATGAAAAGCACAGCATGCCTGTCAGAGAGGGGATAAATGAAAGCCACAGGCAACTGGTAGAAACAAACCCAGGGAGCTGTCTGAGCAATATGTGTGTGTGGCCTGTTGGGTACTCACCACTGAACATGGCATATAACACATGCCCTATCAGAACAGACTGTAATTGAGGGAAAAGGAAATAGAAGAATATATTAATATCTCACTGGAAGCAGCCAGATCACCAGTAAGGTACACGCTGCAGGAGGGAGGCTGACCTGACACTTCAGCTCCCCCAGGGTAGCATCTTCTGAGATTTCAACGTCTCCCAAGTAGCGGAGGGAAACTTCTGCATGCGCGTCACTGGGAGCATCTACAAAGGACAGAGCCAGATGTTTGACAGGAGCTTTAGACGTACTTAGCTCTTATTTCTGAAATACAGGCCACGTTTTGATACTGCAAACGGGTTTAGTACGATTCCATCCAAGCAACTCAGAATCTGAATTCCTCGGGCCAGCCCCTCAGGACTTCACGGGGCGGAAGCAGGGCCCAGTAGATGGGCAGCCAGGGGGCATGCTGTGGGCACAGCAGCAGGGCTTCTCACTAGAATGGCTCTGAGGAATTTTACACTTGTGCTGTCTACCTGGAATGCTCTTTCCCACACCCTCTCCTTCCTCAAAGAGGACTCTGCTGGTTGGATACTCTGCCCTGCTCTCATCTTGTATCTGTTTCTCTCTCATAACACTTGTCCCAACTTGTTACTCTTCTGTCTGTCTGTTTTCTTATGTGTGTGTATACATGTGTTTTTATACATATGTATATATATATATATATATATATATATGTTTTTTTTTTTTTTAACCTAATCTGTCTCCCCTACAGAATATGATTTTCAAGAGAGAACAGGGCATCTATCTTGTTTGTCTCTCCAGTGCCAGGAATGGTGGGTGCTCCTCCCCTAAATATGATTTTCAAGAGAGAACAGGGCATCTATCTTGTTTGTCTCTCCAGTGCCAGGAATGGTGGGTGCCACACAATAAATGTCCAATAAATGTTTACTGACTGAAAGAATTCTTGACAATAAGAAGGCCTTTCTACATTGTTTTAAAAAGGGGAAAACAAAATGCTCTCTCATATAAAACTCTGGATATAAAAGTTGATAACTAAATTTGAAATCTGTAACTTGACTCATTTTTACTTTAGTTAAATGTCTTTGCTTACTGCTGGGCACACTGCTAATACATAATAGGAAATTAATTATAAGTAAATTAAGTAAAAAAGCTCTCTTCATGAGTGGTCTTTCTTGTGTCTAATGATGCTGGAAGCTGGTACTACCTGAAAGACACTTTTAGGAAATTCTCAGAAATAAAAATATTTGCCATATGTTGTGATACAGAAGGACTACCAAAAAAATGAACTGTTTTCTTTACTTTCATGGAGAAACACACTGCTTTTTAACTTGTAACTGTTATTCTATCACAAAATCATTTTTAGAATTGTTTAACATGTCTAATATAACTCAAACAAAAAATAACTTAATGCCAAGTTCATAGCTAATTCAACATGAGTATTTTATTGCTCTACACATATCGTCCTAACTTCAAAAAGTAAGGAGATCATTTATGTTAGTTTCAGTATTGAATTTTAAAAGATAAAAAGAAATATACGTGTAATACTTCAAGGCATTAAAAAAGCTAAATAATTAAGCATGATAAAAGGAAAAAAATATAAAAACTTGGTCCTACTAAAAATATATTCTCTTTATCTACAGTTACAAAGGAGATTAACTTGTATTTTCTTATAATGAAGTGGAAACCCACTTTTTACAATGGCAATTCAAACTCCCTGCCTTTGCTCATCACGACGTGTGTGCTGAATTCTGCCTGTGGAGAAGAAACTTAGACAGAGTGAAACAATATGTTTATACCCTGTCTGTGAGCCTTCTCAGAAGTCAGTGAGCTAGAATGCCCTTTAAGGAGCTCCTGGGTGGCGGCAGCAGAAAGAACAGGAGCTGCATGGGGTCCGGACTCCAGCCCTGCCTCTCCGCCCCTTGGGGCTGCAGTGAAGACACTGGAAGCGACTGAAGCGTCAATGTCTTAGTCTGTTACAATAACTGGGGCCGCTATTCCTACTGCCATGAGGCGCTTGAGAGGTGATATTATATAACAATTCCTTGAAAAAATGTAATATATTGCTATAATAATAATGATAATAAAAATAACAGATGGCAAATGAAAGGTAAAGCCAAAAAAAAAAAAAGATGGTATTTTATAGAGGTTACAAACCACTGTATAAAAATAGGATGGTATTATTATTGTACTGTGAATTATGGAATAGATTTTGATTTTCAACCTTATATTTAAAAAATACATATTTCAGTTGCCTCTCAGCAGAAGCAATCATTTTACTTTTCTTTATGACACACTGGCTGCTGTAATTCTGTTGTGTTCTCACCTTGGATGGAATTAGCTCTCCAGACCCCGCCTTGAGAAAAGGTACAGTTTGTCTGGTCCTGATGACTCTTCCAGTGATGCAAGGGACCCCGTGGCTGGTACCACCAGATGGGCACCTTCAGGAAACCCTGAGGAATGGAGATTTCCAACTGTTGTGATGCACACAGATTAAGTCAACTTCTGCTTCCACAGAAGGAAACTTTTTTGGCCATTGCAAACATCTTGTGGGATCTTAGTTCCCTGACCAGGGATAGAACCTGTGCCCTCAGCAGTGAAAGCAAGGAGTCCTAACCACTGGACCACCAGGGAATTCCCAGAAAGAAACATCTTGATATAGAAAATGTTCCTGAATTTATTTTTCCTTAAGATGTATGTATCAACTGTCATGTACTATACTTGCTTACTGTTTTTACAATCAAAGTTTAAAATCATAAAAATCAGTCTTTAGGATGACTGGGACCAATGTTCTATATCTTCCTTTTTTTAATTTCGTTGCACTGGGTCTTAGTTTTGGCTCGTTGGCTCCTTAGTTGTGGCTCCAGGGCTCCTTAGTTGTGGCATACAAACTCTTAGCTGCAGCATGCATGTGGGATCTAGTTCCCTGACCAGGGATCAAACCCGGGCCCCCTGCACTGGGAGTGCAGAGTCTTATCCACTGTACCACCAGGGAAGTCCCTGTTCTATATCTTAGTAGCTACAGTAAGTGAAAAGTATAAACAAACTAACAAAACATTTGACAGAACAAACTATATAAATGTTTTCAGGCACTGTAAGAGCACCATAGCACAATGCACCAGTTACATGCAGTTTTTATTTATAAAAGTTTCTAAAGGAACTTTATAGAGATCCAACAACCTATTGATCTAAGGTGCATTCCTACGTACCAACTACATGAAATAAACTCGAACTCCTTAAACACATTCTGTAATTTCAGTTTTACTAATTTAACTGGTTCTTCCCCACCCCTTTTGCGAGTGGGTAAAGAACTTGAGCAGATTTACTAAATGAAAGATCAGTTGCTATTACAGTGTGCAATTCCCAACAACAGAAGATGAGAATGTGAAAAAAAAAAAAACATGTAAAGTATTTTAAATATGTATTTCAAGAAATGCATATTAAAATGAGAATGTTTTTCTGTTTATCAAATTGGTGAAGATTAATACTCAACTTCCATGCAGTAAATAAATAAATGTAAATCAGAGCAAAAAACTCCATTTTTTTTCACCTGTCAAAAACCAGAAAGTCTAATAATATTCTACGTTGGTGAAACTGTAAGTAAACCTGAACTCCTATATATTGGTTCCAGGAGTATAAACTGCTGCAAAGTTTCTGGACGGTAATTTGGTGCTGTCAAAATTTTAAATGCCCAAGCCCTCTGACCCAGCCATTCCATGGTTAGGATTTTACCTTCTGATATACTAGCCCAGGCATACAAAGATATTCACTGTAAATCGTTTATGGTAGCAAAAACCATGAAACAACCTCAAGGTCCCTCTTCAGAAGACTGGTTATATTACGGTAGGCCATAACTTTTGACAAAGCGATTTCAATTCTAGGAATATCCTGTAGATACACGTGTGCAAAATGGCAAATAACCGATATTTCTGGCAGTGTTATTTGTATCAACAAAAGACTGGATACAACCTAAATATTCTTTGAAAAGAGATTGGTTAAAAAATAAATCATGGTACCTCCATATACGTCAAATAGAATGAGATAACTTTATGGGTACTGATGTGGCATATATATGGGGGTGATGAAAAAAGCTAGGTGCAAAAGCTAGGTGTCAAGCTTATAATCATTTGTGTAAATAAAAATATGTATATACATATAAATGTGTACATATGTTATGTATATACACATACATACATGTGTGTGTGCATTAAATTTAATAAGCACGTGCCTCTGGAAGGATACAGAGGAAGCTGGCTGCCTGTGGAGGGAGGACCCCAAGTGGCAGGGGGACAGGAGGGATGGGGGATACTTTTCCTGGCCCAGCTTTTTATACACTTTGAATTTTGTATCATGAATATTATCAATTCAAAAATTAACTTTAAAGAGCACAGTATAAAATACAACAGAATTCTATGAAGTCATGAAAAAGAATAAGGTAGGTCTGTATGTGCTGATGTGAGATCCTCAAGATATATTAAATGAATAAAAACAAACAAAAAACAAAAGGTATAAAACAGTGCATAGAATATGACCCCCTTTATGTAAACTTTGAAAAGGATACACACATATTTACATTCAGCATACAAACAGGCATAATTTTTTTCTTGGAAGGATACACAAGGAAAAATAAGTTTATTGTGGCTCTTTCTGGAGAGAAAGATATGGGAGAAACTTCTGTTTATCATTTTATAGCCTACACTGTCTGAGTTTTCTAATCATAAGCAAATGATTATCTGAATGCTGGAATTCTGGGTCATTTTCATCTTTACATGTGTCCACATTAAAACAAAAACAAACTAATAAGTAATGGCTTTTCCAAGTGGTAATACACAGTGTCTATGGAAGAGCAGTGGTGTGAGCCCTCTCACAGACACACATTAGGACTGTAAACTTGGTACGACTCTTTGGGAAAACAATTTGGCTTGTTAATTCCACCTTTAGAATTGTCTTAAGAAGGATTTATATTTATTACTATTTATAAGAACAAAAAATTTTAAACAAGCTAAAATCCGAACAACAGGGATGTAGGTGAATAAAACTGTGGTAAGTCATATATTGGATATAATGATTGTTTCTGGATTTTATGGTCAGGTTAAAAAGTAAAATATAAAAAGTAGGAAATAAAATTGTACATACAATTTGACTTTATAGGAAGAAAATATATAAAGATGTAAAATATGGTAGCTGTCTGATTGGTAGGATTTTGGGTAAGTACTCTATTCTCTTTATGATTGTATTTCCCCATTTTCACACAATGAGAACATATCAACCTTGCAATCATAAAATAGTAACTGTTATTTACAAAATGTCTATTCAGGAGAGAAATCTTACCAGAGGAGGAAGTTTTCCTTCAATTAAAAGCAAAGTGTCTCCGGAAGAGAGCATAAGCTCTTTCAGTGCTGCATCCTGGGAATACAGAAAGTGAAAATCTTTTTTGTCACTATGACTTCTGAAAGGAAGAAAGAGACCATTCGATCTTTTTTAAAAAACCCTATGCCTCTATTACCCTTTCAAGAAATAAGTAAATGAATAACGAAGCAGATACTGAAGAGATGGAAATAAGCTAAAACCATAAAAAAGTATATCATTATGTATTAAAACTGTATAATTATGAACTGTAAAAGATTAAAGGAAGGGAGATGGATGAGTAAGAAATGACAGATTAATCTACAGAAGATAAAATTTTAGTTAAGCCCAAAAGACGGGCTGGATTTGGGAAAGCCAGAGGAAACAAGAAGGAATTTCTCAGGGAAAGAAAAACACGGCCAAGTCCACGTTAAGTCAAGAGTCAGTATGACTTGTGCTGGGGAAGAGCTAGGAGACCAGATTAACTAGAATGGGAGGGATCTGCTCGAGAGTAACGGAAAGAAAACTGGGTTAGAAAGGCGGTCACAGGTCAAAGGGATGTGGAACAGAAAAAAAAGAGTTTTCAGTTGCTTTAAAAAAGCCACTCAAGATTTCTGCGAAGGGGGTTTTTAAAGATCAATCTAAGCTGCCACACTTGTGACATACTGCAGTGGGGAACACATGGGCTCAGGGAAGCCAGTTGTAGTAAATTAGGTAAGAGGCAAAAAAACACAAAAAAACAGGGCTTGAACCAGGAGGCTGGCAGTGGGAATGGTCAAGAAGGAGTGGAAAAACTGATTGAAGGCCGAGACCAAATATGACGGATGTAAGGTAAGTAGCGTGAGCCACATTTCAGGCGGAAAAAGATCAGGATGGGGAAGACAAGAAGCACATCTGGGAAGCGGAGCCAGTTCTGAGGGTAATGAGTTTGCTTTCAGATGCACTGTTTTGATACTGATTTGGGAATTAACAAGAGGAGAAAATAAGGAAACCACTTGACTAGATTTACTCCTTTGACATCCGAACTGTACATCCTGAAGATTCTTTGAGGTTCACTTTCTACTCCAGGCAGTCAAACTCCTGGCCAGGACCCAAGAGGAGCCTCTCTGTATTGTCCCTGACTGTTACACAGCAAGGACTGTTCCCCGGAAGGCCCTGCTTTAGATCAACCTCTGTTGATGTTCAGTGCCAGTGTCTCACTGAACAGAAAGCAGGCAGATTAAAGACTGGGCGAAAGGGGAGTGAGCACAATTATGTAAGCTTTCTCACAAAGCTTTATTCTGGGTGTACTTCTAAGGCCATGGATTTGGACTGTGAGGTTTGATGCTACTTGGAGCAACAATAAGATGATTAACCAACATGAAAAGATGCTCAACATCACTAATCATTAGAGAAATGCAAATCAAAACTGCAGTGAGGTATCACCTCACACCAGTCAGAACGGCCATCATCAAAAAGTCTGTAAGTAATAAATACTAGAGGGACTTCCCTGGTGGCACTGTGGTTAAGAATCCGCCTGCCAGTGCAGGGGACACAGGTTCAATCCCTCGTCCGGGAAGATCCCACATGCCACGGAGCAACTAAGCCCGTGTGCCACAACTACTGAGCCTGCGCTCTAGAGCCCGCGAGCCACAACTACTGAGCCTGAGTGCCACAACTACTGAAGCCCACGCACCTCGAGCCTGTGCTCTGCAACAAGAGAAGCCACTGCAATGAGAAGCCCACGCACCGCAACGAAGGGTAGCCCCCACTCGCTGAAACTAGAGAAAGCCCGTGCATCAATGAAGACCCAATGCAGCCAAAAATAAATAAATTTATTAAAAAAATAAAAAATAATAAATGCTGGAGAGGGTGTAGAGAAAAGGGAACCCTCTTGCACTGTTGGTGGGAATGTAGATTGGTGCAGCCACTATGGAGAACACTATGGAGGTTCCTTAAAAAACTAAAAATAGAACTACCCATATGATCCAGTGGTCCCACTCCTGGGCATATATCTGGAGAAAACGCTAATTTGACAACATACATACACCACAATGTTCACAGTGGCACGATATACAACAGCCAAGACATGGAAACAACCTAAATGCCCATTGACAGATGAATAGATAAAGAAGATGTGGTACATATATACAGTGGAATATTACTCAGCCATTAAAAATAGAAATAATGCCATTTGCAGTAACACAGATGGACCTAGAGATTGTCATACTAAGTGAAGTAAGTCAAAGAAAGACAAATATCATATGATATCACTTACATGTGGAATCTAAAAAAATGATACAAATGAACTTATTTACAAAACAGAAATAGACTCACAGACATAGAAAACAAACTTATGGTTACCAAAGGGGAAAGGGGGGGGAGGGATAAATTAGGAGTTTGGGATTAACATATACACACCACTATATATAAAAGAGATAACCAATAAGGACCTACTGTACAGCACAGGAAACTATACTCAATATCTTATAATAGTCTATAATGGAAAAGAATCTAAAATAGAATATATACATTTAACTGAATCTCTGTGCTGTACACCTGAAACTAACACAACATTTGTAAATCAACTACACTTCAATAAAAATTTTTTAAAAGAAGATTAACCAGATTCCAAACATCCTGTGATAACACTGCTCCTAAGCCTACCCTAAGAGTCTGGGCTGGATTTAGAGATGCAGTTTGAATCAGAGCCTAAGTGACTGGTTGGTAAGATGAATTCTGCCATCATTAACTTACAGAGAAACTCTCAGATTAAAATATTCAGGTTTCAAAATTCAGAGTGTATCTTCAAATTCTTTCACTGGTTCAAATGTCTTTTGTTCTCTGTAGTTCTCTGCCTGTTAATGAAGAACTACTACTAGAGACATATTCTCTTATCAAAAGAGGACTCAATACAGATGTTAGATATGTTCCCACTTAGCTGAAACTTTCCCTCTGACTCTGTGAAAAAACTGCAGTAAGGAAAAAGTGGACCCACATATGGATTTGTATATCCTAAAAAAAAAGTAAAGCTTTCTCTAGAATTTATTCACATGAGTAGGGTGGTATCCTTATGAAAATACAAAATAAACACAATCACTTTACAAATGAAATGTATAGAAATAATCTTACTTCTTCACATAAAGCCTCCCCAGCTTCATAGCACCAATCCATTTTTCGTAAATGCCACGCGTCTCCTATGAAGGAATCAAAATCAGATGAAAAAGAATTCAGAATAATATGTTTTAAGAGTTTGTCAGGAATGACCCTTCTGGATAAATGAATATCAAATGGGATATGATCTAATAAGTATTAACTAATTTTTGTTTTTGCGGTACGCGGGCCTCTCACTGCTGTGGCCTCTCCTGTTGCGGAGCACAGGCTCCGGACGTGCAGGCTCAGCGGCCATGGCTCACGGGCCCAGCCGCTCCACGGCATGTGGGATCTTCCCAGACCGAGGCACAAACCCACGTCCCCTGCATCGGCAGGCGGACTCTCAACCACTGCGCCACCAGGGAAGCCCAGTATTAACTAATTTTTAAAGTAAATTATCTCTTCCAGGGCCTGAAAAAAATTAAGTCATTGCCCCAACTTGGTTAATTTTCTCTCTATTCCACCAAGAACTGTATACTTGCAAATAAAAATAACACCTGGTACTAGTATGCAACATCTACTTACACCTTTATTATTTACAAGTACACATGCGCATCCACATCACACGTTAAGTATAGACAGATGTAAATACATAAGCACAGAATCCCTCCTAAAAACATGAAATTGAGTTTTATTTCTCTGTCTTGGACGAAAATACACGCTACCATCGCTCAGCAACTGATAACATGTACAGCAAACCTGTGCTATCAGTCAGCAGCGATCTAACGAAAGCGTGTCCTTTTGGCACACGGCTTCAATGCAGTTGGTACAAATGGACATTTACGAAGGCTAATCAGAGTTCAGTTTTTCAGCATGCTTGCTACACACTCACGACATGGGGAGAGAACTTTTTTCGGGGAGAGGGAACTGAGCAAAAGTTGAAAATCCTGATGGTTAAAAAACTAGCAATGCTTTATAACAGTCAACTCCCCCACCCACCGAAAGAAGCTACAGACGAGGGAAGAAACACAGACCTCACATTTATCCTGCACAGACTACAGGTTTTGAATCCCAGTACTGTTCTTTGTAGACCCTCTTTTGTCATCGGTTCTAGTTTTAAATGCAGTAAGATTTATATCGATATGTAACTTAATCTATGTTTGTTTAAAAAAAAAAGTAAGTTAAGAGTGAACACCGTTACTTCATAGCAGAGCATGGTAGAAAGAAATCAGAGCCACTTAGCTACTTGCTCTGTAACACTGGGCAAGCCATTTAACCATTTTCAGCACCTGTAAAGTGGGAGCGGGGGATGATCCCTACATGGGAGGACTACTGTCGAGATGACCGGAGGCATCGCACAGAAACTCCTAGAAGTTGAGCAAGTGAACGTCCCTGCCAGATAACGGAGCCCCATGCTTCCAGTCTGGTGGAGAGAATGGCAAGCACTCACTCTAATGAAAGCAGTGTGGTGCCTCCTCAAGCTTGCTCCGTGGTTCCACCTGGGTAGCCACTTCAGGATACCCTGGGTTTATTTTTTTCATTCATATTACATTCCCTAATCAATACACAGAAATACTGGCCTGAAACACAATGCATTGAAATTCTGAATCCATGAGGTTAAAAAAAGAAATTCAGCAAAAGATCTAGGAAATTCCAGAGGGTCTATATCTTAACTATCTCTTTTGTACGTTTGTTGTTCCCTATCTAGGCTCTCTTTCCTTAGAATTAGGCTAACCTCCAACTAGTTTTCTTTTAGCCTGCAAACAAGAAACAGGAGAATTATGTACGTATAGAAATGTAAAGCATAACTGACAACCCTGGAGAAAAAGAAAGTTTGAAAAGTTTTCATTAGGCTTATAGAAAATTTATTATAAGTAAAGGATGTGGATAAACTTATGTATCATCAGGGTCTGTAACTTACCTGATAGGCCAGATTTCTCCAGCATTACCTTTAAACACTGTAAGAAAAAAAAACTATGTTCATTAGTTGTTCTATATCTGAGTTACAGTATTGTGAGAAACACCCTTTTTTGACCCTGGGCCTATCTGAGTCTGATTATATTTAGTAATTCTCAAATAGATAAAGACACACACGATGCAGTGATTAAGTAAGCGCTTCTTAAGTGCTAGGTGGCGCCAACTCAGCAGGGAAAACCAGTTTCCGGTGTTTGCAACCAGGTCTATCTAAAAGTTCATCCACTTCCAGCACTGTGGTATGATTCCCTTCTTATGAGGACTAACAGTGTATTTTTGACCAGATGTGATTAATTAGGCTGATTTCACAGAACTCTGACACCTAGAGAAGGAGATTAGCTTTTATTTATCATCTAAGAAACAACTGGTCACACATCAACTCATGAGGGAAGAACGATGCATACTGTGAGCTCATGGCACAATTCAATAAACGAGACACGATTAACAGACGTTTAAACAAAACAAAAATAGTCATAAAAAACTCCCAACTTCTTGAGGGGAAAAACATTCTTAAATAAATTTAGGGCAAAGGAGTATGTAAAATTTCATTTATACTATAATAGAGCAGAAGGGAGTAGTACGAAGGATGATCACTGCTGCCGTGCTTGGATTAGGAGAAAAATGGCAAACAATCCAGACATCCCTGGATTAACAGGGGAACATTTAAATAAACTCTGAGAGGTCTTAAAACAATTAAAAGGATAAAAGAGATTTATATTTACTGGCCTTAAAAGATCTTTAAAATATTTTAAGTGAAACAAAGTTCTGGGATCCCATTTATGATTTTATAGAAAACCATACAAGTCAGGCTCTTATTTCTACATGTACATACATACCCACACATTGGTACACACACGGCAAAGATACGGAAGGATACACTCTACTGATGAGGATAAGATTATACTGTCCAGACTTCCGGGAAGATGGCGGAAGAGTAAAACGCGGAGGTCACCTTCCTCCCCACAGATACACCAGAAATACATCTACACGTGGAACAACTCCTACAGAACACCTACTGAACGCTGGCAGAAGACCTCAGACCTCCCAAAAGGCAAGAACCACCCCCCCCCCCACGTACCTGGGTAGGGCAAAAGAAAAAAGAATAAACAGAGACAAAAGGATAGGGATGGGTCCTGCACCAGTGGGAGGGAGCCGGGAAGGAGGAAAGGTTTCCACACACTAGGAAGCCCCTTCGCGGGCGGAGACTGCGGGAGGCGGAGCGGGGAGCTTCGGAGCCGCGGGGAGAGCGCAGCCACAGGGGTGCGGAGGGCAAAGCGGGGAGATTCCCGCACGGAGGATCGGTGCCTCAGGCTGGTGCAACGTCACACTGGCCTCTGCCGCCGCGGGCCCGCCCCGCACTCCGTGCCCCTCCCTCCCCCACGGCCTGAGTGAGCCAGAGCCTTCGAATCAGCGGCTCCTTTAACCCCGTCCTGTCTGAGCGAAGAACACCCGCTCCGGCGACCTACACGCACAGGCGGGGCCAAATCCAAAGCTGAGCCCCGGGAGCTGTGAGAACAAGGAAGAGAAAGGGAAATCCCTCCCAACAGCCTCATAAGCAGCGGATTAAAGCTCCACAATCAACTTGATGTACCCTGCATCTGTGGAATAAATGAATAGACAAGGAATCATCCCAAATTAAGGAGGTGGACTTCGAGAGCAAGATTTATTATTCTTTCCCCTTTTCCTTTTTTTGTGTGTATGTGTATGCTTCTGTGTGAGATTTTGTCTGTATAGCTTTGCTTCCACCATTTGTGCGAGGGTTCTATCTGTCCGTCTTTTTTTTTTAAATGTTTTTCTTAATAATTACTCTCTATTTTAATAACCTTATTTTATTTTACTTTATCTTCGTTCTTTCTTTCCTTCCTTCCCTCCTTTAGACAACAAATCATCCCAAATTGAGGAGGTGGACTTTGAGAGCAAGATTTATGATATTTTCCCTTTTTCCTCTTTTTGTGTGTATGTGTATGCTTCTGTGTGAGATTTTGTCTGGATAGCTTTGCTTCCACCATTTGTTCCAGGGTTCTATCCATCCGTTTTGTTTTTTGGGTTTTTTTCCCTCTTAATAATTATTTTATTTTAATAACTTTATTATATTTTATCTTACTTTATTTTATTTTACTTTATCTTCTTTCTTTCTTTTTCTTCCTTCCCTCCTTCCTCCCTCCCTCCCTCCCTCCTTTCTTTCTTTCTTTCTTTCTTTCTACTTCTACTAATTCTTTCTTTCTACTTTTTCTCCCTTTTCTTCTGAGCCGTGTGGATGAAAGGCTCTTGGTGCTGCAGCCAGGAGTCAGTGCTGTGCCTCTGAGGTGGGAGAGCCAACTTCAGGACACTGGTCCACAAGAGACCTCCCAGCTCCACATAATATCAAATGGCAAAAATCTCCCAGAGATCTCCATCTCAACACCAGCACCCAGCTTCACTCAACGACCAGCAAGCTACAGTGCTGGACATCCTATGCCAAACAACTAGCAAGACAGGAACACAGCCCCACTCATTAGCAGAGAGGCTGCCCAAAATCATAACAAGTCGACAGACACCCCAAAACACACCACCAGATGTGGACCTACCCACCAGAAAGACGAGATACAGCCTCATCCACCAGAACACAGGCACTAGTCCCCTCCACCAGGAAGCCTACACAACCCAATGAACCAACCTTAGCCACTGGGGACAGACACCAAAAACAACAGGAACCACGAACCTGCAGTCTGCAAAAAGGAGACTCCAAACACAGTAAGATAAGCAAAATGAAAAGACAGAAAAACACACAGCAGATGAAGGAGCAAGATAAAAACCCACCAGACCTAACAAATGAAGAGGAAATAGGCAGTCTACCTGAAAAAGAATTCAGAATAATGATAGTAAAGATGATCCAAAATCTTGGAAATAGAATGGACAAAATGCAAGAAGCAGTTAACAAGGACCTAGAAGAAATAAAGATGAAACAGACAATGATGAACAACACAATAAATGAAATGAAAAATACTCTAGATGGGATCAATAGCAGAATAAATGAGGCAGAAGAACGGATAAGTGACCTGGAAGATAAAATAGTGGAAATAACTACTGCAGAGCAGAATAAAGAAAAAAGAATGAAAAGAACTGAGGACAGTCTCAGAGACCTCTGGGACAACATTAAACGCACCAACATTCGAATTATAGGGGTTCCAGAAGAAGAAGAGAAAAAGAAAGGGACTGAGAAAATATTTGAAGAGATTATAGTTGAAAACTTCCCTAATATGGGAAAGGAAATAGTTAATCAAGTCCAGGAAGCACAGAGAGTCCCATACAGGATAAATTCAAGGAGAAATACGCCAAGACACATATTAATCAAACTGTCAAAAACTAAATACAAAGAAAGCATATTAAAAGCAGCAAGGGAAAAACAACAAATAACACACAAGGGAATCCCCATAAGGTTAACAGCTGATCTCTCAGCAGAAACTCTACAAGCCAGAAGGGAGTGGCAGGACATACTGAAAGTGATGAAGGAGAAAAACCTGCAACCAAGATTACTCTACCCAGCAAGGATCTCATTCAGATTTGATGGAGAAACTAAAACCTTTACAGACAAGCAAAAGCTGAGAGAGTTCAGCACCACCAAACCAGCTTTAAAACAACTGCTAAAGGAACTTCTCTAGGCAAGAAACACAAGAGAAGGATAAGACCTACAATAACGAACCCAAAACAATTAAGAAAATGGGAATATGAACATATATATCGATAGTTACCTTAAATGTAAATGGACTAAATGCTCCCACCAAAAGACACAGATTGGCTGAATGGATAAAAAAACAAGACCCATATATTTGTTGTCTACAAGAAACCCACTTCAGACCTAGAGACACACACAGACTGAAGGTAAAGGGATGGAAAAAGATGTTTCATGCCAATGGAAACCAAAAGAAACGTGGAGTAGCAATTCTCATATCAGTCAAAATAGACTTTAAAATAAAGACTATCAGAAGAGACAAAGAAGGACACTACATAATGATCAAGGGATCGATCCAAGAAGAAGATATAACAATTGTAAATATTTATGCACCCAACATAGGAGCACCTCAATACATAAGGCAAATACTAACAGACATAAAAGGGGAAATCGCAAGTAACACATTCATAGTAGGGGACTTTAACACCCCACTTTCACCAATGGACAGATCATCCAAAATGCAAATAAATAGAGTAACACAAGCTTTAAATGATACATTAAACAAGAAGGACTTAATTGATATTTATAGGATATTCCATCCAAAAACAACAGAATACACATTTTTCTCTAGTGCTCATGGAACATTCTCCAGGATAGATCATATCTTGGGTCACAAATCAAGCCTTGGTAAATTTAAGAAAACTGAAATCGTATCACGTATCTTTTCTGAACACAACGCTGTGAAACTAGATATCAATTACAGGAAAAGATCTGTAAAAAATACAAACACATGGAGGCTAAACAACACACTACTTAATAACGAAGTGCTCACTGAAGAAATCAAAGAGGAAATCAAAAAATACCTAGAAACAAATGACAATGGAGACATGACGACCCAAAATCTATGGGATGCAGCAAAAGCAGTTCTAAGACAGAAGTTTACAGCAATACAATCCTACCGTAAGAAACAGGAAACATCTCGAATAAACAACCTAACCTTGCACCTAAAGCAATTAGAGAAAGAAGAACAAAAAAAACCCAAAGCTAGCAGAAGGAAAGAAATCATAAAGATCAGATCAGAAATAAATGAAAAGGAAATGAAGGAAACAATAGCAAAGATCAGTAAAACTAAAAGCTGGTTCTTTGAGAAGATAAAATTGATAAACCATTAGCCAGACTCATCAAGAAAAAAAGGGAGAAGACTCACATCAACAGAATCAGAAATGAAAAAGGAGAAGGAACAGCTGACACTGCAGAGATACAGAGGATCATGAGAGATTACCACAAGAAACTCTACGCCAATGAAATGGACAACCTGGAAGAAATGGACAA